TTCAAGAGCCTTAGCCCATGGAATTCTTCCAAGTAGGTCCCTGAAGAGGCCAAAATTAGCTCTCCTGAAGTCCAATGTGGCAGTCCTACTTGTTGTTCTGCTTCCCCCTCTCAGAATCCGGAACTCCACCATCTCGTGGTCACTGCAGCCAAGCCTGCCCCCTACCTTCACATCCTCAAACAGTTCATTTGCCAGCACAAGGTCCAGTAGCAGTCCACTTCTTGTTGGCTTCTCCACCACCTGGGTCAAAAAGTTGTCGTCGATGCTCTGCAGGAACCTCCTGGACTCTGAGCACCTTGCCATGTGGTCCTTCCAGTTAATATCAGGATAGTTGAAGTCTCCCATGAGAACCAGGGCCTGCGATTGCGAGGCTTCTTTTAGCTGTCTATAGGAGGCCTTATCTACTTCCTCGTCCTGGTTGGGTGGTCTATAGTAAACACCCACCACAGTGTCACCCGTGCTGGCCTGCCCCTTAATTTTTACCCACAAGCTTTCAACTTGTTCTTCATCCGCTCCTGGGTAGAGTTCTATACATTCCAGTTGCTCTTTTACATAAAGAGCAACTCCACCGCCTCGCCTCATAGGACTGTCTTTCCTGAAAAGCACATAGCCATCGATGGCAGCGTTCCAATCATGCGTGTTGTCCTACCATGTCTCTGTAATTGCAATGAGATCATGGCCCCACAACCACATACAGAGCTCTACCTCTTCCTGCTGCACGCATTCCCATGCTGCACGCATTGGTGTAGAGGCATTTCAGCAAGGCATTGAAGCACCTAGGTTTCTCTGGAGGGATGAAAGAGGATCTGCCACAGCCAAGCCCACCTTTAGGGCAGTTGGTCTTTTGGTTCTTAAGTTGAGAGGCAGCTACGGCAAATTGATTGCTGCTCTGAACGGACACACTTTTTCCCCCATCGGATGCGACTGCCTGAGTGACCTGACCATGCACCCCACCCCCCGAGTCCTTTAGTTTAAAGCCTGCCATACCAAGTTGGCCAACCTACTGCCAACTACTACCTACTGCCTACTGCCAGTAAATCAAAGGGCTCGTGGGTTGAGATAAGGACAGGGAGAGATCATTTTATCAGTTACCATCACAGGCAAAACAGACTCAACTTGGTAAAATTAATTTATTATCAATCAAAATCAGAGAAGGAAAGGATAAAACTGCTGAATCTTAAAACACCTTTCCCCCACCGCTCCTTTCTTCCAGGGCTCAACTTCACTCCCAGTTTCTCTACCTATTCCCCCCCAGTGGCACAGGGGGATGGGCATGGGGATTGGGGTCAGCTCATCACACGTTGTCTCTGCTGCATCTTCTTCCTAGGGAGAACACTCTTCCCCTGCTCATGCGTGGGGTCCGTCTCACCGGAGACAGTCCTCCACAAACTTCTCCAATGTGAGTCCTTCCCACGGGCTACAGTTCTTCAAGATCTGCTCCAGCATGGGTCCATAATTTCCACAGGGTGAAGTCCCTCAGGAGCAGACTGCTCCAGCTTGGGTCCCCTGCAGGGTCACAAGTTCTGCCAGCAAACCTGCCTTGGCGCGGGCTCTTCCCACCATGGGTCTGCAAAGTCTTGCCATGAACCAGATCTGGCGCAGGCTTCCCATGGGGTCACAGCCTCCTCTCTTCGGGCATCCACCTGCTCTGGTGTGGTGTCCTCCACAGGCTACAGGTGGAGGTCCACTCCACCATGGACGTCCATGGGCTGCAGGGGGACAGCCTGCCCCACCATGGTCTTCACCATGGGCTGCAGGGGAATCTCTGCTCCGGCGCCTGGAGCACCTCCTCCCCCTCCTTCTTCACTGACCTTGGTGTCTGCAGGGCTGTTTTCTCTTACATCCTCTCACTGCTCTGCTCTCTCCAGCTACTGTGTTGCAGCAGGTTTTTTTTCCTTCTTAAATATGTTATCACAGAGGCACTTCCACCGTCGTTGATTGGCTTGGCCTTGGCCAGCGGCGGACACAGGGAAAACTTCTGGCAGCTTCTCACAGAAACCACCCCTGTAGCCCCCCCACTACCAAGACCTTACTACACAAACCCCATTCAAATTCATAATGGAAAGTAAATGCAAGGATCATGCAAACATCAGGGAGAACAGAGGGGAAATGCATCTGGAATAAATAAATTAGTATTTATAGCTAAGAATTTTTTTTAAAAGTGCAAATGGGAAAATGGAACTTATTATAACTGGTAAAGATGACTGTCGAAATGGGTATCGAATATGAGAAGTTCTGGTAAACATAAAAATAGTTAAAGAGATCTTGAAGTAGCAAGTGGAGAGCATATTTAATGAAAACAGAATGTACCTGAAAAAAAATGCAGGGTTTTTTGATGCAGCTGTGCAGCCCTCTTGTAGTTTTACAGAACCATTCAGCATATCTGTAGAATATTTTCAGCAGTGTAGTGCAGCTCAGTAGC